TTTGATTTTTTTTGTTAAAGGCAACCGAAAAATAATAGATGTGAATGAAAAGATGAAGATAAAAGTTTCTGTGAAAATATGTGTATTCTCTAAAAATCAGTTCCACATATTTATAGAATATAAGTTGAGATGTCAAGTTCTACTTCATAGATTATATTTTTTAGTATCATAAAGTCAATGTTTAGCCAACGTATTATCAAATGTAAAAAATTAATAAGAACAGAGAAAAAAAACTAATGTATAGAATAAAGTAATGGATTTGTGTAATATGAACATTAGACAGAGCCCAAGACCACCTCTTTCCATTTTCAATTTATAACAATAATAATAATAATAATAATAATAATAATAATAATAATAATAATAATAATAATAATAATAATAATAATAATAATAATAATAAAGAAGGATGAAAAGATTAATAATTTATTAGAATTATTAAGGATTTTCAAACTGCACATCACCAACACTTCATATGAAAATTAATGTTATTGTGATGGTCATTGCCACGTTATTACATATGAAAAAGATCAATATTTTGTGAATTAGCCAAAAATAATATAGACGTATGGAGTGGGTCTCTTCTGCATAGTCTTATTTTATCATTTGATGGAATGCATAGTCTCTTTTTTTATCATATAATGCATAGTTTTATTTTATTATTGCAGTAAAATACAAGGTAGCTTCCATGAAGACCAATGCTAACATGTACAAGGTAGCTTCCATGAAGACCAATGCTAACATGTGACGTACCATAGCTACTTTGATGGTTGGTGTATCGTTTATGAAATTTAATTGCCACATTTTTACTAAATGATTTATCATGAAAAAATTGTAAAATTTAAAGATGTTTACTTTAAAAATAATTTTTGAACCAATCACAAACAATTTTTTTAATCTTCGGATTTAATCCTCAAAACCTATATTCTAAATCGTGAAATTAACACAAGTTAAAATTTAAATATATTAAGTAAATGTTGTAATTCCTACGTGGATTGGTAAGTAGACCTCGGTCTGCATGTTCTACTCTAGGACCAAATAAATTGACATTTTAAGACATTCACAATTTCTAACTAAAAGTCAAATATATGTAAGTAAAAGCATGCAAAATTTCATGAGTGCATGAGAAGACACTACAAGAAATATGGAGTAGAAGGAAGTCAAAACTCTCTCACCTCAAAGTGTTTAGAAGCATTGTCTATACTCACGTTTCAGATGAAAGGAGAACAAAACTCGATGATAAAAGTGAGATGTATGTATTTGTGGGTTACGACTCAAACTCCAAAGGGTACAAGTTCTACAATCCAAATAGTGGAAAGATAGTCATAAGTCGTGACGTGGAGTTCAAAGAAGAAGATTGTTGGAATTGGAGTGTTCAAGAAGACATATATGATTTTCTTTCTTACTTTGAAAAAGAAAAAAATGAAATGGAACAACCAATGATAGAGGAACATATTACACCATCTGCCTCATCGACACCATGGTTGGATGAAACAAGCTCAAGTGAGAGGACACCATGACTAAGGAGCATTGAAGAGCTTTTTGAGGTAACTGAAAACCAAAATGACATTACTTTTGTCTTTTTGTGATTGTGAGCCTCTAAACTATCAAGAAGGGGTTGAAAACGTAAAGTTGAGAGACGTCATGGACGAAGAAATCAAGTCAATCACAAAGAGTGATATGTGGGAACTTACAACACTTTCGCGAGGACACAAAAAATCAGAATAAGATGGGTGTATAAGGTGAAGTTGAAGTATGTGATATCTCGAGATCAAACTACCAGCATTTTCACCGAGCCACTCAAGATGAAAACTTTCGTGAAGCTAAGGAGTATGCTTGAAGTCACAAATCAAGTTTATGGGATGTTGAAATTTAAGCGTGATTTGGGCCTAATCTTATTAATTGTGTTTTGGATTTTTTGGCCTTAAGTAATTTTGACTAATGTTTCTAGAAAACTCTTGTATTGTTTGGAGTGTCTAGATATTTCTTAGGATTGTAATATTTTTTAGAATGCTTTTGGACTTTTTAAAATTGAAAACTCTTTAGAATTAGTGTGTCTAGAGTTCTCCTTAGAGTACTATAAATAGAGATGTAATCTTACACTTTTGAATCAAACCAAAATACATAATTTTCTCTTCCATAAAGAATTCTCCTACCTATCAAGCTTTTCTTTAGGCCTCTAATATTTGTTAGTTTATGCGCGGTCTCTAAGAAGGGTGTGAATTAGATTTATTGGACTTTTTTTCAATTTGAAGCGTTAGCACTGGTTTTGTTATTTTTCAGAAATGATACGAAAATAAATATGCTGAAAAAATAGATGCGGAAAATATAGAACACAAAAATATATCCTAGTTTCCCTTACAATCCGAGAGTACTCTAGTCCCGTCACTCCTCGTGAGAGATTTCCACTATGTCAGATCTTTGTACAAGTCTTCCATCAAGACTTATCTTACAGTCTTCTAATATAAGCAACACAATTAATAAGGACAATCCCCTTATGATCTTTACAAAGTACAACAAGAGAACAATCCTCCTTTATTCACTCTCTTGCTTCCAACAATCATGGACAACAAGAGAACAATCCTCCTTTATTCACGCTCTTGCTTCCAACAATCCTAGACAACAAGAAAATTATAACAATCTGAATTTTTACAAGTGTTTGAATTTGTATAACAATGTATATCAATTTATAGAATTAATCTTCTCTATCAAGTAGGCAATTCTTAATATGTAGTACAAGTGATCAATGATTTATGTAGTTGAAACTATTTGAGAATGTAATGAAATTGATGTGCAAAAGTTTCAACAATAAGTTATCTTAAGAACACTTGATTTTGAAAATGAGAGAATATAACTTTTGAATTGCTATGAAAGAGAGATGAGTTTGAATTCTGAAAAGTATGGTTTATATAATGCTTTAACACCTTTCTAAAAGTGTACAAATACATGAAAAGATGTCATTATTCAAAAATGCTTTCAAAAATTCGTTTACATCAGAATTTTCATGAGAAAGTGCTATTGATTCAGTGGTAATCGGTTACCTAAAGTGGTTAATCGATTACACATGATACATTTTCAAAAATTAAAGTATTTCTAAATTTTGAGAGAATTTTTTTTAAAGTGCTATTACGGCGGTTTGAAATGCCATAAAGATATATATCCTTGAATTGAAATACATATTCAACCATCTTGATTCTTCCATTTATTTTTCAAAACTTTTTGATAATTTGAACTTGATTGCTCTACTCTTCAAGCTTTGACTCTTCTTTTTGTTTATTTGTTTGTCTTCATTAAAAATTATTACCTAGAACAAGCAGAATTCTTCTTCACAATATTCTCACACACCTTTCCTAAACACAAAAGACTTTATTTCCAACAAAAAAACATGCAAAACTTTAAGTGAAACTTCGCTTTGGTGTCAGTTATAAGGGGTGTGGTGCTAAACTGAATGTCATTATAACACAACTAGAAATACACAGATTATTTGCGGAAAGTGTTCCACACCTATACCTGCGATTTCACCTGCGCCTTTATATTGCGAGACATTATTTCCTGCAAAAACTAAAGTAACAACAAATTTCGCAGGAATTCCTGAGACTTTAACTGCGATTTTAGATTTGAAAGTAAATTTCCTGCGAATTTTACTGCGATACTTTTCGCAGGAATTAGTTATGCATTTAAACCACTGGAAATGTCGCAGGAATAGCTGCGAAGTTTGCTGCGGAATTTGCTGTAAATGTTTCTGCAACTTTTTCTACGAATTGTTTACTTTATTTTTTAAAAAAATTATAAAATTATTCGTTGAGACATTTTTTAATTTTATATTAAATCTTAGTTTTTTTTAAGAAAGTTTTATAATATAAATTGAGTTTTTTTAGTTATTTTTTAAAGAAAATTTATTTATTTAATACTTTTTATGGTTGTAAAAATTTGAAAAATCAAAGATATAAGTTTATGATATAATTGTTAAATATATGTTTATTTATTTAATAATTTTTTATTGTTGTAAAATTTAAAAAAATCAAAAATATAAGTTTATGATATAATTGTAAAAATATAAGTTTATGATATAATTTTAAAAATATAAGTTTATTTATTTAATTATATTTTTATTATTATTTCTTATTTAAGATATTTTAATTATTGTCACTAACTTTTTGTCACTCATATCTGATATTTTAATTATTTTAAAATAGGTTTGTTTTAATATTATATATATAAATCTAAAAAATCGTTGTTGTCGTGGAGACCCGGGCTCGAATCCTAGCACCCACACATTACTCTTTTATCCATTTTATTTCTTTTTCATTCATCTTTTATTACAATGCGAAATTGAAGACAAAAAATGGTGATACACATGGGAATCACAATCTCACACACCAATCCTCCGCTTATTCCTTTTCCCATTCTCCAAAACCATAAACCTCTCTCTTCAACACCACAATCTCACTGTTCACCTTCATTCTCCACCCACTTTCCTCACTCTCACTTCCTCCTCCTCCCTCTCCCTTAGGGTTCCGATTCCCAATGTCTTACTCGATGCCGAGCTTCGTCCCACCGTCCGCTCATTCACCGACCATATCAAAGTCAAACTCCTCCTCTTACTCCCCGTCGATCACCCTGCCCTCTCCGCACTTCATCAAACCTCGTTGTTACCTCAACCTCTCCTAATCGAATACGGTAATAACCTTAATATTACGCTTTCGATTCCCGTTGCTTGCTTTTGGTTATTATTGTTATTATTATTATCATTTTTTGGTTCAGATGTAGACAAAATGTCTTCAGCTGGAGAAGTCGAATTTGTTTGTAGAAGTTGCAGATACCATTTGACCAATAAACATATCAAGTATTTTGTTTATTCTTTGTTTACCTCTATTGTTATAGATTAGTGGAGTTCTTTGGATATGTTATCATTGTATGAAGTTGAGCTTTAAAAAAGTAGATTGAAGTTCTTATTAATGTTATATGGTTTACAATGATTATTTAGAAATTTTTTTGAAATGTCGTCAGCGAATTGGAGGGAGTTGGCTGACAATTGGTTTGGTGCTTGTTTTTGTTCGTTTGGAGGTATAAGTGAGAAGCTAGTGACGAGGTATCTGAATTCTCACACGTGTGCACAAGGGATGTGCCTGTTGAGCTCTACATCTGTCACGTTTAGCAAGGATGATCTTGTGGAAAGTGACTTTCCTGAGCGGTGTGGACAGCTACACGGGTGTGGTTATGTAGCCGATGATTTTGGAATTGATGTTGTTAGTGAAGGCGTTGGGAATTTTAGGCTGAATGAGGAAAGAACTTCAATCTGCAGTGATGCTTGTGAAATGAACTGTGCTTTTGATGAGAATGTAAAGGTTGCCCATCCTGAGAAATTTTTGAAGTTTCATTCTTTTTAAATCTTTCAAGTTTTTACTGAGATGCCTTACATTTAGAAAGTTGCTTTCTAAACTCAAATAAATTAGTCATTAATTTAAAAATGTCATAATATTATTGTTGTTCAAACAGTATATTTTACAATTGGAGTGTGTAGTGTTATTTTCACAGATGGAGTCTAAAATCCAATAATTTGCCTGACTAGTGAAACCACCAAAAGTTTCTTTTCTATCGGCTTCTAAAAACTAATATTGTGACAATGATTATGGATGTTTCAGAATATTCCGGGTTGGTGGATTTGGTTCTATTAAATGTACCTTGTTCAATGGACATTATGCGGTATTATAACATCTCATCTTGGTGATGTGGAAACAACGATTGTGGGACCAGGATTCAAAGGCACTGTGAAAGAGTATATATCTACAACTCTTGGATATGATCAGAAAATGAACGGAATATCGTCTGTAGGTCTTTCAGTGATAGTCCTTCTTGCATTCAATATCCTATTTTTTGGTAGTTTTGCTACATCTGTTAAAGTTTTTAATTTCTAGAAGAGATAAAAGATATGAATTATTAGGTTTCCACATCATAGTAGTAGATGATTTATGCATTGGATGAGATTTTGTATTCCACGCAATTTATGAGGTAGGTGCTCGATCGAATTGTCATTGTACGAGGTCTGCTTATTGTAGATGACATGAGACCCAACTGTTAATTCCAATTTAAAATCCAAAAAGAATTCTTTTTGATATTTCATATATTCTTAGTTGAAAGTCCCCAATAGGTGGCAGTCTTTGATTTTTGCATTGGTCTTTGTCGCCCTCGCATTGTTGATGACGAGAAAACGCATCGGTTATATCGCTAGATTTCATTGACTTTTATCGCGCATTCACCGTTTTAACGCTCGATTCCTCGAGTTTTTCTTACTATTTTGCAGGTACATCGTTATGTGAGGCCAAATCATGAATTAAGAAGAAAAGAACAAAGAAACCACAAGAAATGAAGCAAGACAGAAGCCTGCATAAACTCTGCATAATTTGTTACGACCACGGTCGTTACAAGGGTGTCACGACCGTGACACCTTACTTTGGGCCATCACGACCGTGAGGAAGTAGTCACGACCGTGACACTTGAAATCATCAAACAACGAGCGTGAAGACCTTGTCACGCCCGTGACAAGGATATAACTTGATTTTGACTCAGACTACGTCAAGCCACCAGTGAAGCCCACTCCTCCTAGTAATTCTCCTCAAGGCAGCACGTGAGGAAGACTTCTCCCATTTTCTGCTGCCACTTTCCAACATTTTCTCAACCACTTCAGCAAAGCCCAAGAAGCAAAAGACCAAGGACCAGCCCATTGGAAGCTCTATAAATAGGACCAGCTCAGGAGAATTCAGGGAGAGACTTCATTATCCAAATTTCCTGCGGAAGCTCTGCCGAATTACCTTACCACCAGAATTATTATTCCAGCATTTGTTTTACTTTCTGTCTTATTTTATTTGTATCCAAACCAACCGTGTAACAATTTCCAACATTAGGGAATTGTTATACTTTTATTTGTTTCCAGCCTTCAGCATTCGTTTTAATTTTTATTTCCGCCTACTCCAAGCCTTCCGGTCTGTGGAAGAAGGAGTCTACTCAGATATTTGTTAATCAGGTTTTTCAGTTATTGCAATTTAATTTATTTATAATGTCTGTTTATTTTTCTGCCATTAGTAAGTCAATAATTAACTCTGAGTCTGATTTAACCTCGATGAGTAGCTAAATACCTTAGGGCGGTATGTAGTTATAACTAACTTAACCGGTAAAATATAACCATGGGCTAAAATAATTAATCGCTTAACATTCTGGCTGACGCTTTTTAATTGAATTCGACCTTTTCGTTACGAGAGTAAGAAAAGGGTATTAGGTTGGGTCAAGACCACGAGAGTGTGATATTTTAACCAGATAGCTAAAGTTAGGCATTTAAATTAAATACAGCGAGAGCGCTTTAAGATAAATTAGAATTATTTAGTTTCCAAAAATTACCTCTAAACACTTATGGGCTAGCGAGAGCAGGCATAGGGCTTTAGGGTCTGTTTGGTTCAATCGAGGGGAGGGGAGGGGAGGGATTTTTATCGAGGGGAGGGAAGGGGAGGGGAAGGGAGGGGAGGGATTTTAATTACATATATGTTTGGTTCAAAATATGAAAGGGGAGGGGAGGGGAGGTATTTTATTTACAAATATGTTTGGTTCACAAGGGGAGGGGAGGTATTTTAAAACTAATTTACTTTTTTATCCTTCTAATTTTACCATAAGACTTGTGATATTCACCGTTTATATCTCAAATACAAATTTATTGACGAAATATAAATATTCAATTAGAGATCATCATAAAATATTTTTAAAAAATGCAACGATTATAATATATAATTGGCAAAATTACAGTTTTGGTCCCCATATTATTATAAACAAAAATATTACGATAACTAAAATTAACATTAAAATATGAAAAATAAAATAAAAAATTTAAACAAATATAATGATAGTAAGATGAAGATATAAAAATACAAAAAATACAAAAAAAATTAAATTTATTCAAAATAAAACTTTTAACATTGTTATAACTCATACTACAATTATATATTGATATGTAATATAATACAATAAATTATAAAATAATTAAGTTATTACAAGAAAAATATTAAATAAAAATGAGTAGAATAAAACACATGGGAACAAAGTTGAATCATAATAATAAAAATAATGAATTTGCCATTAAAAAAATGAAGGAATTATAATAAGGTGACAAAAATTAAGGTATAATATTAATAAAGACAACTAAAAATTTTATTAAATAAAAGTGAGGATAATTTTGTCAATATAATAAAAATACATGTTATCATAACTCTTCTCTCTCCCCTCCCCTCCAAAACCCCCCAATTTGGGGTGAACAAAAAAATGCTTCATGAGGGATTCTGATTACCTCCAATCCCCTCCCCTCCCCTCATAAAAAATTGAACCAAACACACCTATTTTAATATATTACCTCCCCTCCCCTCCCCTCCCCTCCAAAACCCCCCAACCAAACAGACCCTTAGGGATAAGATCTGATTCAAGACCACGAGAGTGTGAGTTGAGGGTATTCAAACTAGTAATCTCTACCGAATAGATTAAGCGAACATCTTTATAAGCCTAGGTTAGATTGACCCACCTAAGTTAGTATAATTACATACCGACCGTCTTAGTATTATTTTATTAAAAACTTAAATTTAATTCCGCCTTCAATAGTCTTAGAAAACCAACAACAATCGTGACAACTATTCGCCTTAGCTAAACTAGAAGTTCATCTAGCACTAGGTAACGATAGAATCCCTGTGGATCGATAATCTTAAATATTACTTCGATAGGCTGTGCACTTGCAGTAAGATACCGCTAGACGCATAAGTAGACACGTCTGTAGCCCATCATGTTTTTGGCGCCGTTGCCGGGGATTCCTTAATTTAGTTACTAGTGCACTTAGGTAGCATTGTCTAGACTAAGGTATCAACTATTTAATTTGATCTAATCTCCGAGTGTATGCCACGTACTCGCTCCAAAAGCGAAGACTTGCAACCTCTAATCCCTGAATCGGAACGCTTCTTACACGTAAGAAGACGTATACTCGATTTCGAAAATAATTCCAACATTCCAGATCTTCAATTAGATCCGCCTGAACCAGTCGTAAAGTCAGAAAACGCAGGAATGGCTGAAGAACAAACTCATCCACTCAAGTATTACGCTAATCCTTCGCAAGGTGAACCGCATTCAAGCATTGCAGCACCGGCTATCAACCGAAATGATTTCGAACTAAAACCATCATTGATATCAGCCGTGCAACAAAATCAATTCGCCGGAAATCCTACCGAGGACCCGAATCTTCATCTTTCGATCTTTGTGCAATATGCAGATACCGTAAAAGCCAATGGAGTTACCCAAGAAGCTATTAGACTATGTTTATTTCCTTTTTCGCTTCGAGACAGAGCAAGAGCATGGCTTCAATCTCTACCTTCGAACTCAGTAACTACATGGGAACAACTTAAGAAAGTTTTCTTGAACAGGTATTTTCCACCTAGCAAGACAGCTATGCTGAGAGCTCAGATCAACGGATTTAAGCAAAGAGAAAGTGAATCATTATTCGAAGCTTGGGAACGCTATAAGGATCTACTTAGGCTTTGTCCACATCATGGATTAGTAGAATGGATGGTCATCCATACCTTCTATAATGGACTCTTGTACAATACAAGAATGACAATTGACGCTGCCGCGGGTGGTGCATTGATGGACAAAGAATATAATGATGCCTATGCACTTATCGAAAGTATGGCTCAGAATCATTACCTTTGGGGAAGCGAGAGAGTCGCAACTGAGAAACCAACAAAGGGAGGTATGTACGAAGTAAGTAGTATGGACCAAGTCAATGCGAAGTTTGACCAACTAAGCCAAAAGATCGACAACTTGGCCATAACACCTGCAGCCACCGTGGCTGCCGTAACACCTAACTGTGAGTTATGTGGAGTCCCAGGACACGAAGTCTCTGATTGTCAACTATTGGCAGGAACTCCCACTGATCAAGTGAATTATGCTCAAGGAAACCCTTACTCAAACACATACAACCCAGGTTGGAAGAATCATCCGAATTTCTCCTATAAGAGTAACAATGCTTATTACGCACCAGGTCAAGCACCAGCTACATCACCAGGATATCAAAAGACTGCTCCTAATATCCCTAGAAAATCGAACCTTGAATTGATGATGGAGAGCTTTATAGCTAGCCAATCTCAGACAAACAAGGACTTCCTAAACCAAAACATTCACACTAGTGAGCAGATTAAACAATTAGTGAGCAAAGTAGACGCATTAGCTACACATAACAAAATGCTTGAAACTCAGATTTCACAAGTAGCTCAACAACAAGCACCTACTGCTGCACCAGCTGGAGTATTCCCTGGACAACCTCAACCTAATCCGAAAGGACATGCTAACGCTGTAATATTAAGAAGTG